GAATTTTTCACGGAAGCTTATTATAATGATCTCATAGTTTGAAATTGCTTAAATTTATTTGTCATGTTAATCAAATTTAAAAAATTTGTTCGTCTGATTTTCATTTCATTTTATTTTATTATAAAAATGAAAACAAAAAAATGCTAATGTTTGCTTCTGTTTGAATAGAAATATGTTTAGGTTGTTTTGATGCTCAATTTACAAGCCTCTAACTTGTAATTTATTAGAAAGATATTTGAAAGTACCATTTGTTTAGATTAGAATAAAGGAAAAAGAAGAAATGATTGTTTCGTTGACCATTGATCATTTCACAGTTGCTTTCGTAAGAATGTACGAAAAATGTTTTCATCAATCTTGACTTGTGTAAAAGAGTGTTAACAATATCAAAGTACACGTATCATTGTATTTATTTGATATTCATTTCGAATTTATTTCATAATTACGATATTTTCATTATTTTTATGCGAAGAATCGACAAAAGATAAGAGAATATTCGTGCTTAGTTATATTAAACATTTAGAATAATTTGAAAGATATTTTTCTAAAAATAAAACATATTTCATACAAAATATGTTAATAACCAAACTGATAATTGGAAAAGAAAGTGTTGCACTGTAGATTATTCAATTAATCCGTTTCATAATCTTAGATTTTGCAATATATTTGAATTAAAATGAAAAATATTTTTACTAAATAACAATAAAAAAAATTTCCGGAAACATGCATAATTCATCAATCAATAAAATTTTGCATTTACTTTTTGCATTTTTCCATTTTTTTTTGAAATAATAATATTACTGCCTGCATAATTATAACAAGATTAGGTGTATTTCGTCTAAATTTGATGAAATACACCTAATCTTTTCTTGCTATAATTTAAAATTAAAATTAGCATCAAATCATTAGCATTATTTAGTCGCGAAAAGTAAATTTGAATAGTATTTGGGCAATAAAAACGAAGATTATAATGCAAAATGATATACAAATTCTTTAGAATTGTTGGCAAACGGTTGGTGCTTGTCTAAATGTATTCCCAAAATTCCGTCACTTTTGAATAAATTTTTCTGAAATGCTGCAGGTTTTGAGGATATTTATAATTTTCAATTGCAATTCAAAATAAATGTTGAAAATTGTATCGCTTTTACAGATAAATACAAATTTCATAACAGAAATCACGAAAGAAGTTAATGCACTAAGCAATGGAACATTATTTAAACCAAGTTGAATTTATTAATCAAATTTAATTGGAAATTGTTGAAATTATATTTTCTGGCTTATCCAGCCATATCTTTTCATAGCAATATTTATTTGAATGAAATTAACAAACAAGTTATATAGTAGATGGAATTATTAGTGAAAATATCAGATACCAAATTTCCCGGATTCAAATATTGCTTATGATGGACGAATGGAATGGAATCCAACCAAATCGATGGATGCTACAATTCAACAATTTCGTATCGCCGTACTTAGCACAAATGTCAGAGTTATTAAACAAATTCTTAAGGAAGTGCATAATGTTACTCCCGTAAGTTGCATAGTGATAATTTGTTTTTACTCTCTTTTACAATAGGAAGATTTCTGATAAAACTTGAAATTATGAAATAATTCTTTACTTCAGATCAAAAAAATGAAATAATTCAAATTTAAATGATTATATTGTTAAACAAATTCTTAAAGATGTTAAATAAATTCTTAATAAAATCATTTAGATTTAAAAAATAATTTAAATAATGATCTAAAAATGAAAAAATGAATTTAAACTATTGAAATGTGATAATTGCAAATGAGAAGCTAAGGTGCAATATGCAAAAGGAAATAAATAAGAAGAAATACTGAGTTTTTCAATTCTGAATATAACTTAAAATATCCTGCAGATTAATTATTTTAATCAACGGTAAAAGGTCATGACAGTAATACTGCTAACGATCAAAGCGTCTGAGAGAATGCAATAAATATTTTATGTCGGAAAATGCTCATTTTAGGGTCAAATAGGGCGGCTTCTACCATTGATCACTGATCGAACATCAGCTGAACCGACCAAAGAAGCATTGATGACAGCAATTTGTATTGGAAGTCGTCCATTGGTTGAATTCATTTTATCACTTTTCATGGAATATCCCGGTGAAGAACGTAATGGTCCGTGCATTATTTAAGTATTGTAACGGAACATTCTCTTCCACATATGTATTCCGAAATTTAAAATATAAAACTGAACAAAAATG